ATCACATTCAACTAAAAATTTAACCCTAAAATTATAATCGATTTATACGCTGAGTATAAAAATTAACCAGTATATTGGTTAATGACTTTGACAGCCCGTACCCCAGGGCTCAGGTTCGAATCCCGAAGAAGGCATGGATGTTTGTAAATGAATAGTGTCTGTGCGGCATAGGGGCACTGTAAATATTCGGCGATCCGAAAGTCCTCTCAAGAGGTTGGTGGTAGTGGAAGAGGACTCACTCAAAACTGAGGGCGAAAAGTCGGGCTGTCGCTTATATGTTACTCAAGGCTCTTGACAACGAGAGGATCATTTCAGTCCTTGCGACGATGAATGTCGTGGGATTGCGCGGACAATTGTCAGACAAATGAGACTGGTCATAACAACAATATAAAAATTAACAATAATTTCTACATCCATTTACTAAGAAAGTTAATTATTGTATTTAACGAAAGCAATTAATTACATATATTTATTATTCCAACTGAAGTATAAAAGCTAAAATCTTTCAGATTTTATTTTACGCCCAAAGGGACTTAACGTTTTGTGTGTGTACTACCTTTATTCATTAAATATCATGTTATTCGTACTTAAACTGCATAAAATTAAATTCATTACCAATATCACAGAATATTTAAAAACAGCATATCTATAGCATTTCCGAATCTCGCGCGCTGGATACAAAAATATTTTTTTTTTTCGCGCAGTATTGCCATTGCTCGCTTTGAAATCGTTACGTTTGTTAATCAAAAATTCGTTAAAGTTTTACAAAATATGAAATAGATAGTAAAATAAATTTGAAATTCAAAATTTGGACTTCCTGGTGCCCATATTCATGTGAAGGATTACGTTATTCAAAATTGGATGGCTCTAGGTACCGTCGTTTTTTCACAATGCGAAAAGCATACATACATTTATGCAGATTCTTCATTATTTAATTTCTTTAATTATAACGAAAGGAGATCGTTTTTGGTGGCAGCATCTGAAAAAGCGATTCGTCATTTATAGTAAAACGCCATAAAACGCCGTTTTGAGATTAACAGCCCTTCTGAACTACCGCCCCTTTGGGCTAGTAAAAATATTTTTAAACAATTAAAAAGGAAAGAAATGAATACAAATAATACTGTATGCAAATTTTTTTTAAAGGAGGAAACAGTGGTGGTTGTATGTGCTGCTGAAACATATTAAAATTTATTTTGTTCGTAAAACCGTCATTAGCTTTAAAATAGACACACCTAAGATCAGTTATTATCATCTGAAATTGTATGTTTATTTGTTTTATTTTCATCTTCGGCAGTTGCCTATTGCACCACCGTATGGATCGCATTCCGTATCAGAACTACAAACGCATTGAAAAACAAAACGCCCCAGATGGCCTTCATTCAAAGAACCACAACGGCCTGAAATTTCGATGTTCTTTTCTTTCCTTCCCTAAGGTATATAGTAGCAAGTGTAGTTTTCACTTTTACGCATAAGCTGTCCTCAAATTACTTTCGTCTTCTTCTTAAATCTAAAGAAGTGCTTCATTTTGTTTAAATACTTTTGCAATACACTCGGCTTTTTTGCATTCAAATATCAGAAACCTGGATCGTTGATGAAGAATAAAGGGACTGTCGACTTATACGCAAAAAATAATATATGCCACTTTTCATTTTGGTTGAAATGGGAAAGTTAGAATTTTACTGTTATTAGATACTTCAAATACACACTCTAGCAAATTCAAACCTAAGATATTTTAGGTTTGAATTTGCTAGAGTGTGTATTTTAGTTTTGAATTTTCTAGAGTGTGTATTTTAGGTTTGAATTTGCTAGAGTGTGTATTTTAGGTTTGAATTTGCTAGAGTGTGTATTTTAGGTTTGAATTTGCTAGAGCGTGTATAATTTTGCCCAGAGAAGGTTACTTTACTTAATATTACAATAGTTAATATGTTAGATTACAGTAGTTAAATATAAAACACCATATAAATGCAAGGATCGGCAATGACATTGAAACACCTCAGTTCGGAATACACTATATTATTAATACGAGGTATTATTGCAGCGATTATTATAAGATTGTTATAAGTAACCAGTGTAAGACTAGTACAATCATTAAAGCTATATTTAGCCATCCCTTTGTAAGATCTGTCTCTGCTATTCGACATAAACTAAATTAGATCCTACAATGAACGTGGAGAATTCTCGCACAGGTATGAATAAATTACCAGCGCAAAAAGAAGGGTCAAATTAACCCTTCATTAATTCGAAGGAGAAGAAAAAGGCACGATCTTCGTGCTTTACAAAAACACCGTCAACTAGCAGTGAAACTTAAACGTAGAATATAAATTAATTCAAATCTAAAGTAGAATAATGTTGGATTAGCACGTTAAGTGACGTCTAACAAGTTGACTCATCAGAAACCGAACAGGCGTGACGGTGATCCGAAATGGCGAAGAGGCTTACTAGCGTAACAGCGAGATAGCAACAAAACGTGCGCTGGCTAGCGAAAACACGTTCTGAATAAACTCAGATATTCACCCGTTTAAATACTCACTTCACTTCACTTTAAATTTACATCCTGGCGAGAAATGTGAGGGAAAGTTGAGGAGTTCAGGAAAGGTATCAAACTTAAAATAAGTTTGTTATGCAAAATAAGGGAAACACTACACCTTTTATAAAACAGTGGTAATTTCAGTTCATGGTTTTGGAGGAAATCAGCGTCATCCAACTCTACGTACAGGATCTGTCCGGAACGTAATAGGACTGAATGTTTTTTTTAAAATTTATGCACAATTTTAACACATCGAATTAGTAGTTTTCAAAATATATACCTCCTGCATCGACACAACGTTTCCAGCGACTTTGCCAATCACTGAAGGCTCCCTGCAACGCAGAAACTGAAATGCTCTTCAGCTCCCTCGTTACGGCCGCTTGAATGGGTTGGACCCAACCGTGTGATTCCATCCATGATTCTTTTCAGTTAGGGAACGAGAAGGAAGCCTGGAGGAGCGACATCTGGTCTGTAGAGGGCTGGGAAAGCTGTGTAATGCCATATTTGGTCAGGAAGTCCATGACAGCATGTGGCTTGGCGCATTGTCGTGATGAAGCCTCCATAACCCAGGGATTGCTGTACAGACTCGGGCGACTCGTTTTCTGAGTCTGAGGTAGTCAAGGTTGAAAAGACTTTGCTCTTTAACTAAGTTTTCGTCACTTTTTACCGTTGAAGGGCGTCCTGACCAATGCTCATTTTCAATTTGCAGTCTTCTCTCCTGAACAATGTGTCCACTCAAAAACAGTTTTAATCGACCCATGGCCATCACTCCCATAAGCAATCTTGATCGTGTCATGTGTCTCATTCGTAATTTTACCCAATTTGACGCAAAACTTCACCTCCTACCACTGCTCTAACAAATCATTCATTGTGAACATGACAAGGCACCTTGAAAGCGGTTCACCGTAAATGTGATCTACACTTCATGGAGGCTTGGAGACGACTGGCGCGCTGGTAGCTAAGGTCCCTCACAACCCACCAGCGCAGTAACATTCCCCTCTTGACTATGTTTTAGCTAGAAACAAATCAATCCTACTACTTCCCCGAAAAACCTGTACTTCAGATAAGAAATATTGTTGAGATCAGGAAACTATGCAGATCATTGAATACTTCAAGTTCACTTTCATGTTCTTCAAATTATTTTGTCACCAGTTTTAAGGTATGAACTGGTTCACAGCACCTCCTTTGTGATATAATATTTGAATAATTGGCTGGATTAGATTATCGAGGAAAGGGATTTCCAACCTTTTTCTTGCATCGACTCCTTTTAAGGAATGGTTTTTTTCCATTGACCGCCCTTACATTTTTTTCTTTAATACTTATTATTAATAATAATAGTTATTATATAATTACAATACAAATAATTATACGTACATAACTTAAAATAACAATTAGTTAAGAATATTAACAAAAGTTTAGACAAAATTGTTTATTAGATTTATTTTATTATTTATTTGTATAATTTTTTTTAATAATTTTACTTGTAAAACATTAGGTATTTTTTGAAGGAGGAGAAGTGAAAAGTCAGCAACGCCTCCGCCGGGATTCGAACCACGGACATCTCGAATACGTGCCGAGTGTGCTGACCACTACATCACGAAGGCACGCTAAGAAGGCGGGAGAAATACCTTATATACGCCCCCCCTTTAAAGGGCGACTGAGAATTAAGGAACCAAATGACAAATTCTGGTGGTGAAGAATCATCGTTCACCACCTTTTTAGTTCGGGTGCCATTAGGTTATTTCGAAGCTGAGAGACGTGAAAAATGAGCAATGCCCTCGCTGGGACTCGAACCTCGGACTTCTCGAACACGCGCCGAGTGTGTTGTCCGTAACACCACGAAGGCATGCTAAGAAGGCGGGAGAAATATCTTAAACACGTCCCCTTTTAAAGGGCGACTGGGGATTATTGAGCCCAATCGCGAAATTCTGGTGGTGGAGAATCATCATTCACAACCTGTTTTAGTTCGGGCGCCACTGTAAAGACATTATTTTATTTTGAAGCAAGAGAGATGAAAAATGAGCATTCTTCTCGCCGGGAGTCGAACCACGGACCTCTCGAATAAGCGCCGAGTTTGCTGACCACTACACCACGAAGGCATGCTAAGAAGGCGGGAGAAATACCTTATATACTAATATAAAAGAATCACAAATTCTAAGTGCACAAAAATTAGATTCCAATTAATGTGATGGCTACGATTCATGTATTGATGTAATTTTTTTAATATTTAGCACAAAATATATTAATTAATTTAATGTTTAAATCATCTACTTCGAAACAAATTATTTTTTGTTTTCCATTCTAGTTTTGTGAACTTCTTTTTTCTTTTGGTGTGTGTGTGTGTATGTGTGTTTTCCTGCTTTCTTGCATTTTACTTCTTCTTTATATTGCATTTACTGGATAAGAAATTTATACGCTTAAAAATATTATTTTTGATTTTTAAAATATATGAAATAATTTTAGTGTCTTTTCACCCTCTATTTATTTTATTTGACTTCTTCCTTATTACATGATACAACTTTATATCAATAAACAATTAATTCAGACAGAATAACAAAGTCTTCGACAGCTAATCATAGTTGGAAATTTAATCACAATTTTGACTTTGGATCTGCAGATATTATCAAAAAAGCTTCTTCCATTAGTGAATTGGATTCTCTTAAATCTTTTCACATTCACGAAGATTTATCTTGCTTAGTTAATGACTTTAATTCCAACCCAGTACTGCTTAACGCTTTTAAATTTCTATTAATTTAATTTTTCAATTTTCATTATTATTTCTCCTGACAGATGGCGCTACTTTTTCATTAGCTTTACTTCTTTTGGGTATCAATACAACCGTTGCACCTCGTACCTCCAATCCTCACCCGTTTCAGGCTCACGTGACAGATTTCCACAGTCAAGCGTCCAAAGAGAATTAATTTCAAATAGCAGGAAAACGTCGTGCAAGTAGCATCTATATTCACAGCATATGAGCAGGACTTGACCTTAAGCCTTCGTTGCAGGTTTCTGTGATCCTTATGAAAAGGGACCTGCACTGTGTGCTCTCAAAATAGAGACAGTCTTGAGTAAAATCTACGTCAGACACAAAGTTGTTGCTTTGCCTAATTTTGTAAATAATTTATTATCAAGTTTATTAATAATTTTTCTGATAATTAGTGGAATACTGAGTATGTCGATCACTCGCTGGTGCATGTTCTGCAATCGACACTTTATCTCATTGATCCTTTTCAAAATTTTATCTATGCCCAAAGCATCGATCGCTTCGGCCTCGTTGGGAAACTCAGCTCTTAACATGTCATTAGTTTTTTAAGAGTAACCATAACAATCAGTTAATCAACCAGCAAGAATAATCAGTCCTTGATGGTCTTGATCCGAGAGACTTCCACGATACTGTAATCCAAACAGTCCTCAGTCTAGCTTCATGCTTTATATTGGAAACGTGAACAGTCCCACTCATACACTTCTGAAAAATTTCTTCACAGCTAAGCTAGCTTAGAAATAAGAAAATGGTGAATCAATAGTTTTTTTAGAGTTATATGACCATTAAGAACAATCAGTTCCTGATGGTATTGATCCGAGAGACTTCCACGATACTGTGGTCCAAAGAGTCCTCAGTCTAGCTCCATGCTTTATTTTGGAAACGTGAACAGTCCCGCTCATACACTTCTGAAACAATTCTCCACAGCTAAGCTAGCCTAGAAATAAGAAAATGGTGAATCAATAGTTTTTTTAGAGTTATATGACCATTAAGAACAATCAGTTCCTGATGGTCTTGATCCGAGAGACTTCCACGATACTGTGGTCCAAACAGTCCTCAGTCTAGCTCCATGCTTTATTTTGGAAACGTGAACAGTCCCGCTCATACACTTCTGAAACAATTCTCCACAGCTAAGCTAGCCTAGAAATAAGAAAATGGTGAATCAATAGTTTTTTTAGAGTTATATGACCATTAAGAACAATGAGTTCTTGATGGTCTTGATCCGAGAGACTTCCACGATACTGTGGTCCAAAGAGTCCTCAGTCTAGCTCCATGCTTTATTTTGGAAACGTGAACAGTCCCGCTCATACACTTCTGAAACAATTCTCCACAGCTAAGCTAGCCTAGAAATAAGAAAATGGTGAATCAATAGTTTTTTTAGAGTTATATGACCATTAAGAACAATGAGTTCTTGATGGTCTTGATCCTAGAGACTTCCACGATACTGTGGTCCAAAGAGTCCTCAGTCTAGCTCCATGCTTTATTTTGGAAACGTGAACAGTCCCGCTCATACACTTCTAAAACAATTCTCCACAGCTAAGCTAGCCTAGAAATAAGAAAATGGTGAATCAATAGTTTTTTAGAGTTATATGACCATTAAGAACAATGAGTTCTTGATGGTCTTGATCCGAGAGACTTCCACGATCCAAACAGTCCTCAGTCTAGCTCCATGCTTTATATTGGAAACGTGAACAGTTCCACTCATACACTTCTGAAAAATTTCTTCACAGCTAAGCTAGCTTAGAAATAAGAAAATGGTGAATCAATAGTTTTTTTAAAGTTATATGACCATTAAGAACAATGAGTTCTTGATGGTGTTGATCCGAGAGACTTCCACGATACTGTGGTCCAAACAGTTCTGAGTCTAGCTCCATGCTTTATTTTGGAAATGTGAACAGTCCCACTCATACACTTCTGAAAAATTTCTTCACAGCTAAGCTAGCTTAGAAATAAGAAAATGGTGAATCAATAGTTTTTTTAGAGTTATATGACCATTAAGAACAATCAGTTGCATTAGAGTTATATGACCATTAAGAAGATTTATTTCCTGATGGTCTTGATCCTAGAGACTTCCACGATACTGTGGTCCAAAGAGTCCTCAGTCTAGCTCCATGCTTTATTTTGGAAACGTGAACAGTCCCGCTCATACACTTCTAAAACAATTCTCCACAGCTAAGCTAGCCTAGAAATAAGAAAATGGTGAATCAATAGTTTTTTTTAAAGTTATAGGACCATTAAGAACAATCAGTTCTTGATGGTCTTGATCCTAGAGACTTCCACGATACTGTGGTCGAAACAGTCCTCAGTCTAGCTCTGTGCTTTATTTTGGAAACGTGAACAGTCCCGCTCATACACTTCTAAAACAATTCTCCACAGCTAAGCTAGCCTAGAAATAAGAAAATGGTGAATCAATAGTTTTTTTAGAGTTATATGACCATTAAGAACAATGAGTTCTTGATGGTCTTGATCCGAGAGACTTCCACGATCCAAACAGTCCTCAGTCTAGCTCCATGCTTTATATTGGAAACGTGAACAGTCCCACTCATACACTTCTGAAAAATTTCTTCACAGCTAAGCTAGCTTAGAAATAAGAAAATGGTGAATCAATAGGTTTTTTTAAAGTTATATGACCATTAAGAACAATCAGTTCTTGATGGTCTTGATCCGAGAGACTTCCACGATACTGTGGTCCAAACAGTTCTGAGTCTAGCTCCATGCTTTATTTTGGAAACGTGAACAGTCCCACTCATACACTTCTGAAAAATTTCTTCACAGCTAAGCTAGCTTAGAAATAAGAAAATGGTGAATCAATAGTTTTTTTAGAGTTATATGACCGTTAATAACAATCAGTTCTTGATAGTCTTCCTCTTAGAGACTTCCACGATACTGTGGTCCAAACAGTCCTCAGTCCATCTCCATGCTTTATTTTGGAAACGTGAGCAAGCCTGATCATACACTTCTGAAAGAATTCTGCACAGTTAAACACTCCGAGAAGTTAAAAAGATAGTGAAAATGTACTGATCATTGAACAAATCATGTATCACACTGCTCACGTTTTGCTCTCATGCTAGAGTGTTTAGCACTGCCTACCAGAGAGGTTGCCGTATTAAACTTGTGAAGCTTTCGAAACCCAATTTATGTAAAAAATTGTGAAGTTTACTAGAAGAATGTTGAATTCTGCCTTATAAAAGCAGTTTTCTTTTAATTACTTAATTCTTTTTAACATTCTAACATTCTTTACACACAAAGTTCTCTTACCTCAGCAATATTTCTATCGATTCTCATTAATCTGTAATTTTTTTATAGGTATATGGACATGAATCTGGGCACTGTGACATTCGGTATATCAAAGTGATCTACTATCTTGTTACAGATACAACAGCTACGCGAGCACAAACACTATACACTGACTACCAATAAGTATTTGGACACCTATGTAAATGACGATATCTGCGGTCCTAAGGTACGTCACGGACTCCGCCGGTATATATCGTGTATTAAACAACATCGGCTTTAGTCGCATGCAAGATGCCTCGCAGTTCGGAGCTCTCTGATTTCGAGAAAGATATAATTATCGGGTATCACAAACGTGACCGATCCTTAAAAGAACATATCTAGCGATCTGAAGTACCCAAAATCAACAGTGGCCTATGTGATTAAGAAGTGGAAGATGAGCGGTGATTGTCGGAATGTGCCCCGAGTCGGCAGACCAACGAAAATGGGAGATAGAGACCGACGAGTGCTGTCCAGAGAAATTCGGAAGAACCGCACCAAAACGATGGCCCTCATCCGCGAGGAGTTTCAACAGGCATCCGGGAGTATTGTTTCAATGAATACCATCCGTAAGGAAGCACATCTGCTTGGTTTTCATGGTCTCGCTGCTGCCCATACGCCTTTGATCACAAAGTCCAACCGCGCTGCTCGGTTAATGTGGTGCAAAGCACATCGAAATTGGACCGTAGATCAGTGGAGACGGGTTCTTTGTAGTGACGAATCAAGGTTCACCTTTTACCGTTCGGATGGCAGGGTCTGGGTCTGGCGTCTACCTGGAGAACGTCTCTTGCCAGAATGCATTGTGCCAACAGTCAAGTTCGGCGGAGGTGGAATTATGGTCTGCGGGTGTTTCTTCTGGTATGGGCTGGGACCCTTGGTCCCCATTCATGGTAAGCTCAACTCCGATACCTACTGCACTATTTTGGATTACAATGTGCTTCCTACGTCGTGGCAGTTTTACGGGTTGGACCCCTGTTACTTTCAGGACGACAATGCCAGTTGTCATGTTTCGACGTTAACCAAGGCTTGGTATGGTGCCAATGGAGTTCATCGAATGGACTGGCCTGTACAGAGTCTAGACCTGAACCCTATCGAGAACCTCTGGAACGAGTTGCATCGCCGAATTCAGGGGTGCACTACCCGTGCAAAATCGGTGAAGGAACTTCTATGTCTTCTCCAAGCCGAGTGGAAGAAAATACCACTAGCTGTCATACAAAGACTTGTGGAAAGTATGCTCCGGGGGTTCCGCGCTGTAATTAGCTCTCGTGGAGGCTCTACCAACTATTAATTTTGAAGAAAGTTAGTTTTTCTTTTCTATGACAGGTGTCCAAATACTTATTGGTAGTCAGTGTATATCTTTCATTTATGTCCTATAACTCTCAATGTTTGAAATCAGTACTTCATATACCCAAAACTGGAATTTTATATTTTTCGGCTATTGACGACATTCGATTTCATTTTAGATCTCCGGTTGGTAGTACACAAGCCGGTCTGAAATTTGGAGTACTATATTCGTCAAGTGTTTCAGTTTCATTGCCCAATCCCTGTAAGCCAATCTTTAGCAAGAGCACACACAGCAATGAGAATTTTTCTTTAAAATGTCTTTAATTTGTATTAAAGTTGGTCTTGTGGTGTAGTGTTATGCTTAAACGTTGTGATGTTGAACTCCAATGAAAACGCTAATGATGGAACACCACATAAAAATTTTATTGAACGCCCAAAAAATGCCTACATACCATCAACAACAAAAAAAACCTAAATCTTTTTCTTAAAATCAAATTCTATACATTTTACGTGCGAGAGCAATACTTGGCTCTCGAGCTTGCGTTTTTAACATTGCCAACAATTTAATTATTTTAATAACAACTATTGAAAACGTATTCGGAAGTTAAATAATAATAATTTTCATCTTATGCTCACGAGACATCCTTGCCCATATTAATCTTCAGTTTCTTCTTCCTTTATGCGACCTTACCACAGTCTCCTATAATTTTATATGGAACCTAACTTCTTTAAAAGGTTGACTGCCACATTAGTTTTTGAGAAAAATCTCCAATAGGTCATCAACGCTGCTATACACTGGTGTGCAAAAATTAAGGACGAGACGGTTTTTTCAATATAACTTTGTACAAAAGCTTTCCAAATCAACACATTTAATGCCGTAAGATCCCCAATACGTAAGGACATGAGTAATGTAAGCAACACTTACTATAAGAGAAATCAGAGGGATAAAAAGAAGCTTTATTGAAAAAGTAGCATGGAGCGCAATGCGACTGAAGGCCGAAACATCCCTGTGATGGGTATCCAGCAAGAAACATCCGGTCTTTAATAGGGGATATGATCTCCCCTGACTGCTAGGCAGGTTTCACAGCGTTTGCCCATGCTGAGAATGAGGGTGTCAATGAGTTGTTGAGGCATTGCTGCCCATTCGTCTTGCAGCGCCAATCGAAGCTCCGGAATCGTTACTGGTGGTAAGGTACGAGCTACCAAGCGTCTGCCTAGAAAATCCCATACAGATGCTAGATGGGATTGAGATCCGGAGATCGTGCCGGCCAATCCATACGTTCCATATCCTCACTCTCTAAGAGCTGTTCGGCAGCTACTGTGCGATGACAGGGTGCATTGTCGTCCATGAAAAGGAACTGCGGACCCATAGCGCCTCTAAAAAGACGCACATATGGAAGAAGAATCTCGTTACAATAACGAGTCCTGTTGACTGAACCTGCGTCGAAGATGTGAAGGTCTGTACGACTACCAAGCATGATGCCTCCCCAAACGAGAACACCGCCACCTCCATACCTGTCCCTTTCAATGATGTTCGAGGGCTGATTGCGGTTTCCCCGCTCTCTCCAGATGAGTATGCGATGAGAATCGCTACTCAGACTGAATCTGCTCTCATCTGTAAAGAGTACTCGTCCCCATTCATTGTCTCTCCATTCCGGTGTTCCCGGCACCACAGAGAACGCCTTCTCCGATGGGCAGGCGTTAGAGGCACACACCGTACAGGGCGTCGTGCAAACAGACCACCACCGTGCAGTCTTCTGGCCACGATAAAATGCGATATCGGTCGTCCAGTCGCCTGTGTCGTGTGTCTAGCGATTTCTCCCGCTGTCTGCCGCCTGTTTCTTCTGGCCTGTAAGGCAATATACCGGTCATCTGCGGGTGTGGTTCCTCGTGGACGACCCCTACTAAACCCCCGGATAGCTGTCCCTGTAGTTTGAAATTTTCTCCAAAGTCGTGAAACGATGCTGTGAGCAATTCCGAACTCTGCAGCCACACTTGTCACACTGCGGCCTTCCTCCAACTTCCCAATGATTCGACCTCGGTGTAAAAACATCCAGATGTCGTCTAACAGATTGATTATTCGCCATTTCTCGCTGAGGCAGCAACTCGGTGTGATTTTAACTGCTATACGGCGTGGAATCCCTTTGCCAGAAATACTGATCTGACACCGACAACATGCTTTATACTACTCAGACACTCCCCCATTACGTCTATCTGCATATCTGCGCATGTGCTACCGTACATCACCTTACTTAATCTCCTGATTGGTCTTTCTGTCCGCTCTGCCTCTTCGTTCATCTTATATGCTAATTTTTCGACTTCGTCCTTAATTTTTGCACACCAGTGTACATTGCGCCAATGCTCGTTCTGCCATAATTCATTGTAATTTTTCTCTCTTTGCCTCGATTAGATAGAATTAGCAGGATTTGTAATTTACATTTTCTCGTTTATTAATTACTTAATTTTATTTCAGGAAAATACGTATGGTAAATGCCAACATGGTATTTATTGCCTGATGTAAACAGTGTTCGCTCTAATTGCTTCACCGACTTGCGCGGTACAAAAGTATATGAAGTGAAAATGTTCAAAACGTACGTAAAAGTGTGATTTCAAGTGTGATTTTTG